TGTGTTCCTACTCCTAGTTCGAGCCGGAGCCCGCATAATTCGGAATGTCGCCCGCAGCTTATGTCGCCCAGTGGCTTGCTGCAACCTTTACACCATCATACTATTAACTGGATAAAAATATGAGTGGTACAGTTGGTACATGAAAACGTGATTTATTTTTTGACTAAAATGAAATCGGTAAAAAGGACATTCATTTATTTAGATTAAGTCCGGTATCTGGTTATCTATATCCTACTATTATAGAACCTGTAAACATAAACTTTGTGCCCACATAACATTACTAACTGCACAAAAATGTAGGTAAGCACTTAAAGTTTTTACGACTGTACGTCGTCAAAAATTAGCGAGTAATGTATGACGCTGTATCACTCTCGCACACCACTCGAGCCGTCCGAACGGTCGTCGCATTGGTTCGACTATTTAAATTTTCTCGTGGTTTCCGAAAACGGGACAATTTTGCGTCCCAGAGTTCGTTTCGGGGACAACGGCGCTCGTAATTATGAAAAGGGTCGGTCCCGTTCAAAATGGGACGTCTGAGGCTCAGACGTAACCGGGAAAATAAACTCGTTCTAATCGTAACGAGTACGCGTTCGGCGCTCATTGGTTGGTTCGTTGGCGCCGGCCAATCAGAGCCGAATGCGTACTCGTTTCGAATACTTTAAACGTAAATCAAACTCGTACTAAGGCCTCTGGTCTTCATTTCTCTTTATTAAAATATGTTTTTACATCATTCTTTGTTTAAAGATGTCGTCGCCGCGTCATAAACAAGCCATGAACTAAATATGTAGGTCATCCATTTACGTGTTATCACTTATACAGTTTAGTCATATTAATATATAATTTTCCTCAATGACTGACGCTGCAGCACATAGCTAAGACATTGTTTTTTTAATTATTTATGGGATAAGTCAATAACCGATCAAACGTATCTACTGATGGTAAGCTATCGGCGTCGCTTTGGACACCTGGAACACCAGAGGTGTTAAAAGTGCGTTACCGGCCTTTTAGGGATTAGAAATTTGAGGATTGTTAGCGATTGGGGATATTGAAGAGGAGAATTCACACGACGTATTTATAACGCAAACTTTGTTTTACCTCGGTTTTCTCAGAGTCCGTGGTATCACTCCGGACGAGCCGGCTCATTCATGCCGAAGCATGGCTCTCCCAATACCATATTTGTGTCCTACTACTTCTTGTTTTTTTTTTTTTGAGGGAAGAAAATCATCCAATTACTTTTCCCGCCCGGGTGAGTCGAGAGGGAGTGTCAGACTCTTACTGACTAAAAACTACTCTGTTCATAGGAACAGCAGTTCGTAGCAGGAGTACTCCTGCTTTCATGGGAACTCGATAGGCGATCCGCAGCTCTGGACTATTTGTCTACTTAGTTACTGCCAATATATTAAATCGTTATTCCGAAATCTAAGTCTTTGTAACTAACTGATTAAGTAAATCTTGTTTGTTCTTGATCTTATTTTGTTAAGTTAATTAAGTCCGTTCACATGCTTACAAAATCTAGGAAATAAGGGAAACCTATTATTATTAGCCTTAATTTCTGTAATTTACGCAAACTATTGTAAACTATATGTAACTCTGTTGGTTTTCTAAATAAGTAAAATAAAAAAACAAATAAAAAAATACCATTTCAGTTTGCTAATCGAATTTCTTTTAAAATATTTTAATATATTTTTTACACATATTTCAGGTTGGGCTCTCTTTGTGACAGCTACGGGTGTTGCTCAAATATTCCTCGCGAGCGCTCTCTCTAAAACAGCAGACAAGGCAGCTAACTCCGATAAGGTCCAATTCCAAATGGATGAAGGCAAACAATTGATATGTTTAGCTTGAAAACTCGACCTTAAACCCAGGGAATAAGGTACAATTTTATTAGTAGTTATAACCTTTGATATACGATTTTGCTGCTTATTGGCAGTATGTACTGCTTGCTATTTTTCTTATGAATGATTGACTGATATTTACTATAATGAATCTCGAATTACATCCGTCTACTAAATGCTATTTCATCCCAACACCATGGTAATGACCAGTATACACATGTTTAACCGATTACTATTTGTCGGTTGCGCAAGCGCATTTATAGTTTGCGTGTGCGCAACCTGTGCCAAGCCCAACGCCACTTTAGCGCTTGTCTACAGAGAGAGAGTAGAAATCAAAATGTATGGGGATGACACTGACAAGTGTCAAAATTTACGTCGATTCCATATAATTTGGTTTTCTATTCTACATGTAGACAAGCGCTAAATGGCATTTGGCTACAGGCTACAACTGCTGGTTGTATAACCATGGTGTCCTAATCCAAAAGGATAGGGCTTAGTCATTGGTCATTTTCAGACTCACACAGTATTCTAAAATCATTACATAGATAATTTTTATAATGTCTTTTGCTTACAAAATAAACTGTTATTAGAATAAGCGAATAATTATCTTTTTGTAACATATTTTTATACGCACAATAGATATTTCCGATTTTTGTTATACAATAGTTTATTATTAACTAAAAATGGCCGTTTACTCACGTGAATATACTAGAAAAGCTCTACTAGTTTCCAACCACAGAGGGGTTCTTCCTCATGAGCAGTGTGCGCGACATCGCCGCGACCGCAAAACTAGTAGAGCTTTTCTTAGTATATTTACGTGAGTAACCCGCGATTTTTAGTTTAGTTATTTAGTATGTCTCACGATAGTTATTATAAAAACAATAGTTCATTTTATTATAAGTATTTTTTACATATGGCGTTAAATTCACACATTCGAATTATTTAAGTTAAAATCCGACAGACTGAGAATGTAAATTCCGACCATTTTAATTGTATCTTTTAGTTTTATTCAGTGAATGAACAAACTTCCAGTTTTTTTGACAATATTAATAATACAAATAAAATATGTGTACTATATAAGTATTTAAGTAAGTTTTATTAAAATAGAAATAATAGGATAGGGATGACGATGAGTTATGAAAAAAAGAAATTCTTTTTCATCTGTCAGGTAGACAGCAAAACTTGATATCGACTTGGACTGAATCACTCACTTCGGACAATCATCCGAACATAGTACCTCCTCTTTTTAAACTCGATAAAAATAACAAGTTCCAAACCGATTGACTAGAAGAAGAATAAAGCAAAAGTAGGCATACAAACATATACAAAAAAAATTTTTTTTTTCCTTTTTTTTAAACTTAGCCCCACACTAGGATTTTCTCCTGTGTCGTGGGTGCGTTTACAAACATACAAGTTCACATACACATGACCTCCAGACTCGGAACAACAATTTCTGAATCACACAAATTGTTGACATTGACATTGAATACCTAATTATTGAGATTTTATTGGATTGAAATTGCATTGACATTGAGATTAGTTTCAAGAGTAAGCATCTGGCTAGGCTATTCTGTAACTGCCAATTCGAACTTTTGGAGTGAGCTCGATCGCACTCTCGCCCGTCATTGGTCGAGATTATTCTCAGAACCAATGACGTGGCAGACCGCGATCGAGTTCACTTCGATCTTTCGAATTGAAAGTTACAGAATAGCTTAGCTGGTCAGCTAAAATACTTTAGGTCCCATTATTCCAAACTTTTTTTTGCCAACCTGTACAGTGTTGCTAGACCACAATTTGTTATGACGTTTTAATAATCTACATACTCTATTATTAACAAGTTATATTATTTTATTATACTCGATATCATTATTAGGTATGTATTATGAAAAAGTATATTTTCATATTATTGTAGTCTTATTAGTCACAAATAAAATCAAAGATGTATGTGTATGTGTGTAGTAAATACTCATTATTGTATTTGTCTTAGTAAATTTTTAGGGTGGAAACATTTATTTATGGTTTTAATAGCTTTTACTCGCGGCTTCGCTCGCGTCACAAAAGGATAAAAGTAGCCTATGTGACATATACCAATACACACAGCGCCATCTATACCAATTCTTTCGTAGTCCCTCGAGAATATCATTTTATACCGGGAAAAAAGTACCCTATTATTTAATTCGGACTTCTAACTTAATGTCTGCAAAAATTCAAAGCAATCGGTTTAGAAGTTACGGCGTGAAAGCGGAACAAACAAACAAACAAACTCACTTTCCCATTTATAATAGTAAGGATAACAGTAAGGCTAAAGACTGACCGTGGCTTTTCTCTCGCGGTTGCGGGTCCGGCTTTGCAGAATACCGATATGAATGTAAAAAAACAACGCAATAGGGTAGATGACTAATTTTGAGTCTAATGTCCATCTATATATATAGATAGTTTATTTAAAATATTAGACACGTATTTTTTATTTTCTTACGGAAACGAATAGTTTCGAAGTTATATCTATTTGAAATATCGCGTGACGTTACTTCTATGTACATTTTATACGTAAAAATGACGTTTAACAACCACTCCTAAACTTAGATTCATTGTATCTAAGTATTGTTTTCTTATACGACAAAATAAAAAAATACATGTCTAATATTTGTCTAACTTGGACTAACTTGGACTAATTAGATTTTTAATTTTCATACCTTGTCATCATTAAGTGCCGTAATGTGATCCTCTGCCTACCCCTTCGGGGATAAAAAGCGTGATGTTATGTAATAAAATGATACTTAGATATAACGAATCAAAGTTTAGGAGTGGGGGCTAAAACGTCATTTTTAATTATAAAATGTACATAGAAGTGACGTCACGCGACATTTCAAATAAATATATCGTCGAAAGAATCTTTGTCCGTAAGAAAATAAGAAAAGAAAATGTGTCTAATGATTTAAAATAATCTACCAGACGGATATTAAAATAAAAATGAGTCATCTACCCTATTTATCCGAAATGTTCAATTTATTGTCACAAATGTCATTGTGATGAAAAGTTGAACATTTCGATCAGCTGCGGATTTTGACTCAGCCGTATTAATTTCGGCTAGTCGTCCAGCCGTGACTTTCAATGACGCCACCCCGCTCACCGCTAAAATCGAACTCGTGACTGGTCTGTTATAGTATTTATCACTTTAGTTAACTCGAGCCTGTTTTTATTTGTAACATCTGATTATTTTATCACATTGACTTAGCAATTTGGCTATTATGACCAGTCATTAGGAATAATATATTATCAAATTAATCACTTTGGCTGTAACATATACACAATATTTACACAAACTCACGCCTTTGTCCCGTGGGGTAAGCAGGAATCACACACAGAGCGCAACCTATGACGCCTAAACCTTGTAGAGGTATACTTCTTTAATATTATGATAGTTGAATCATATCGAAACCTCCAGTTTGTTTGTAACAGCCAAAAATAACTGTTTTCACCTAAATATATTAATTATTTACTTATTTACATTGAAAATATTATATTTGTCATAATAATTTAGCATCACAAATTATAATTATTAGATAATCTATATTTCATAAGGTTTATAAGTGCCATGAGAACCGATTTTGGCTTTAATTTTAAAATTGTATTCCTATATACATTCTTGATTTTTACTTGATATAATTGCAAATGTTCCAATAAGGGATCGGATAACTTTTCAAAAACTCTTAATATAATCTTTATAGTAATTTATACCCGTTAAAAATATTATTTTTTTCGTTCCTGCTTTATTATTAAAACGAAACGTGTTTTAAAATACGTATTTTGAAATTGCCGCGAAACGTAAACGTAATTTTACAGAGGGCCAAGCACGAATAACTATCGCATTCGTATCGTAACAGTATCGAGCGAGTTAGCGTTCTGATTGGTTGGTTCACTTGAGCCGGCCAATCAGAGCGCCTAACGCACTCGATACTATTACGTTACGATTGCGATAGTTATTCATGCTTGGCACTCAGATTACCGCGTTCAAACAAACAAACAAACAAAAAAACAAACTCTTCCGCTTTATATAACAGTATAAGATGAGATATAAGATGAGATAAGATCATAATATCAGACATCCACTGCCTCATGAAGGCCTCTACGTCAAAGTCAAAATCATTTATTTTAATTTAGACTAGGAAGGTTAAAATTGAAGCTATTTGCTCATTCCAAGTTGTAGATTCCTATGGAGAAGAACCAGCAAGAATCTCCATAGGTTCCTCCTCCTTCCTCATCGATTTCCAGATAGACCGATGGGAAGCGACCTGCTTCCAAGCCAATTTTTAATAAAAAAACATTATTGGAACTTTACAATTGTATTAACACGTTAAACGCCATGGCAGTCACTGGTGACCGACATTAGCGGAGGATTTGCCTTCAATAGTTTTTTATTGGCAGCCAATGCCTTAATAATAAAAATTTACTAAAAATATCAAAATTAGTATTAAATCTATACATTTACTTGCAGTATTATTTTTAAATAATTTTCCATATATTTGGACTTTTCCTACGTTATTGTATATCAAATCGATATGTGCACAATTTTTATACGTAAGGCTTTGTATTTTTGTATATTTATGTGTTCATAAATATATGTCGAAATGAATGAACAAATTATAAATGGGTACGTTTTTAAGGCTAAAGGGTGAAATAGACAATTATAATGACACATACTATATTATGTCTGCCGTCTGCGACTGCGCGAAGTCAGTTTTTGGTAATTTATGAACTCCGATCGTGTCTCGAAATTAGTTGAGCAGCAAACGTTAATATTATTCAAAAGATTTAATAAAGATATAATATTTAAAATAGTCGTACAAAAGACAATGTCCAAAATAGCCCCGTGCAATAAAGAGTATCAGAATATACGATAATTAATCCATTTTATTATATAAGTTGCAAATAGTTCCGTATCACGGACTATCTGTATTCCAAAATGTACTTCGAATATAATTAAACACGATTAATAACACTAGATCGCCATCTTCGCCTAATGTAAAATGCCTTCGCCTAATGTAATAAATAGATAAAGAAATAAATCAGCAAGTCCAATGTCTTGTCGACAGTGAAACAGGGATGTCCAATCAATTATAATCGATCATTGTGTTTTTTTTTTCTTTATGAATGCAGTCATACTCCAATTGAAATATGTAGGTGACTTATCACCTACATATTTCAATTGGAGTATGACTATTATATGACTATGATATATTATTCTTAAATAATATTATACAGTATACAAAACTTTTTTATTTCTATACAATCATTCAAACATTCAACATTCGTTCAAATATCCGTTGTTATGGTTAGATTATAACCTCAAAATCTGATACTTTTTTTGA